CAGGTGGCAATATATAAGAAAACATTCAATGAAAACTAATCTAATACAATGGTCATTTTTGATTAAAAACAAAAAATACGTATATGTTTGCACAGCAAATAATTTATAATTTATTAAAAAAAATTATAATTTGTTTTTTGCTGCGTGAAGTGTGAGTTACAGATGTAATATAATCAAATTAAAACACCAACGTATAAGTACTTAGATTTAAACTATGTACCGACAATGGTGTGCTGGTTCACCACATATTTAAATTGCTTTCATTTCTATACACTAGTAACGATCAGTCACACAGTGTTAAAATTTTGAATATTTCATAATTTCATTATTGGTGAAATTTTGGGTAGCCAACGTATTTTAATTATAACCAAAACAAGACGCTAATGGGAAGCCTTAGACATCAATAACGTAGAAATTTTGAAGCAGTCGAGGTACTTTCATAAAAACTAATTTACATAGCAGCTGCCAATGAAACAAATATTTTTCACTCTGTAGTAATGCAAGCCTCTACTTTTGATTCAGTTTACAAATGTAACATGAATCACGCAAACAACAGAAGATGAAAGCAAAGATGGATGAGCGGACCTTTAATGATCGGTTGATTCCGGGACGAGTCTAGTGACATTGATAAACAGTACACAAACCAAAACAATTCAACAAATAAAAGAGCAACTTCAACAAAAGAAAAAGCGTACAGATAGTTTTATAAATGTTTATGTTTATAGATGTTTATAAATTTAACCCTTACGTTCCCGTAAACCCGACAACGTGCCCTATTTCAGAGCTAGCTAAAATCTTTGCCAGTATTTTATACTTCTTTTATTTACTGGATATGACGGTTATAAAAAACTCCAATTGAAACGACTTGCCAGGTTGAATCCGGACTTTCTATATAATATTTTTTGTATAAAATAAATGCATTAAAAATATTTGTAGTTTACAATACTCTATTTAAAAAGTAAACAAAAGTTTATATTTCGAATTCAACTGATAAATTTTACTTTGTCTAACTAATGCAATGTTATTTAAATAATATAATTCAGAATCTCTGTTTCTTTTCATTCATTCTGAATAAAAAAAGTTTCTTTTTATTCTTAGATTTATTTTCTTTAGATTCATTTCAATAATTGCTGAAATTGTTCAATCTTCAGTGAAATTAAAATGCATTAAAGCTCAATAACGTTGAGAAAACAAGGATTTCCATGTGACAGGAAGTTTGATTTGAATAACACTACAACATTTAATTTATTCATTTACAAGCAGGAAAAAATAAAAGAAAAATTAAAAAAAAACGTGATAATAGATAAAGATCATCATCATAGATAAAGATTGTGGCAGATCCCACAAAAGTGCCTCTTCCTGTAACAAGGAATGCATAGATACATGAAATGTTTGTTGACCTTGACAATCACAACACCGAGGTCTCCAACGGTAAAAGGACAAAGATAAAACTAAATTCTGATTTTAAAATTAGAGTATTGAGCATTATTTTTTCAAGTTGTGAAGCCTTATGAAATGATCTCATTGACAAGTTTGTACAAGAATGACTTCGTCGCATCAACGCATAAAACAAAAAGCCCAAAACACAGCAAATCAAAAAACTAAAAAATTCAGAGGAAAATTACGCAACCACAACTCTTGACAAAAACAACTTTTAAAAGAACAGCTGCTAATGCAATAGTTAGCACCAATGCTGCACTTTACAACCTTGAATATAAAAAAGTATAGAAACGATGATAAAGACAATTGGTATGCGACAGCTCAACAACACAGATTTTTGCGCTGGATTTCATTTGCGTTTTAAAGAAATTAAAATAGGCTGCAGTGCTTTCACTGTAGAAAAAGGGGATCAAACTAAAATGGTGCTTCTGCATATGGCTTGGCACAGCGCCATCACCAGTATCTTGAAGTAATCAATTACCCCGCAATGAAGAAAAGTGGGATGTATCGGTCTCTTGGTGCCCTTACAAAAGTTCTGAAATTATTAAAAACTGCTACTGGATACAAAAGCAACTACCAAAAATACATATATTGTGTTTTTAGTTGGTTGTGTTTCAATTTACTCTGTGTGGTTTTCATAATTTAAATTTGAAAGTTTTAATTATATTTGGACACGTCTAATAGAAAAATAAATGTTAATGGATACGTTGATATAAATTTTTTTCCTTAATTAATAGCAGTTATTTTTTGTTTTAATTTATAAAACTTTACTTAATTTAAATTTGTTGATTGATGAAGTAAAAAGTTGTTGTTGTAAGAGTTATAGGATTGTTTTAACACCTGTACTGTCTGTATTGTGAGTTGTATTAGTTCTGCTTTGATTTTAAGTTTTTACAGAATGCCAAACATTATAACAGACTTACAAACTGTTTACGTTGATTCTGTTGGTGATCCTGAGTGTAGCGGACAAAATGGTGTTGATGGATACCGTTTTGCGAATGCTGGTAGGAGTAAAAAGGTTAAAATTCGTCTTTTAAATATACGGTCCCTAGTGTCAAAGGTTGATGCGGTACATGATTTACTGTGTGATGGTCTCGATAAGTTTGTGCTTGTAGAAAAATGGCATGGATCAACAGATGATGTTTGCCTTAAACTGGCTAAACCTCAAAGTTTTAGTTATATTGATTAAATATGACTCAATGATCCCTACCATGGTGGATTGGTAGTGTTTTATAAAAACAACATCAAATGCGTTAGAATAAAGTTACCGTTTTTTAAAACATTTGAGACTCTCATGCCGCATTTCAATCTAATGTTCAACGATAGTTTTTCTTTTTATATACAGGCCAGGTTCCTTTTATTACAAGACGATTTTTTGAGAAGTTGATGATTTTATTTAAACAGATCACCATGGTACATTATAACATTGTCGTCGCAGGTGATTTCAATTATTACATTGAAAGAGGTTCAGGCACACTTGAACTGCTGGGAATTTTTGACGTTTTCTTGATGATGAATTGAGTTACTGGTCCAAGGCATAATGGAGGAGGAACATTGGATTTAATTTGTACAACATTCCAATAAATAACATTGTAATACAACAGTCGGGAATTTATTTTGACCACTGGTTGATCATTGGACAGTTGACGATGAGCATTCCTCATATCATCCGTAAAGGCTCTATCATTAGATCATGATCTAATAAGGTGGACAAAAAGTTTATGATTTCCTAAAGCTATTTCAAGTGATGACGTTCAAATAAATGCAGCTTTGTTTCATAATGAACTTCTTAAAATAGCTGACAGAGTTGCCCCCTTCCATTCTGTGCAATGGAGGCATGTCGGGTCAGCCCCGTGGTTCAATAATAAATGTGTTAACGCCAAACGTATCTTCGTAGACTGGAAAGGAGATACAGAAACAGTAGAAACGCAATAAATAGGAAAGCTTAGATTGAGGCAATGCATGAAAAAAATCGATTTTTAAAATACAGTGAAGAAAAAATATTGGAAAAATTTTGGAGTTATGTGGTAAATGTTCGAAAAAGTTATGACAAACTATAAACGGTCTACTGTGTTGAAATAATGAAGTGATTGATCCTAGTGTCAACCAAACTGTATATTCAAATGATTTTATGCACTTTTCCTTGGAAAAGACAAAAGTAATTGAAAGATCAGCTGTACATTTTAACTTTCCTCGGTTTCCTCTGTTTCGTGATTAAAATGTGGCTTTTCTAATTTCATTCCCGGTGGTGTCTGAGGATTTTGTTAAAAAAAGTTGTTATTTCGTCACCAACCAAAACATGTTCACTGGATCCTGTGCCGACCAAAATTTTTCATTTTTCACGTGTGATTTGAAATAGATTGTAAATATGTTTTGTTGTTTTTAAATACAGGCATTGTTTTTTCTAAATTATTTTTGAGATTGTATTTGTTAATTAAGATTTTTAAATAAATAATAAATTTAAATTATTCAAGTTATTCAATATAAAAAAATACCACTAATACTCTCGTATAACAAATAAACTATTTTTATTAATTTTTCTAAATAAAATGTAAATTTTCACTTAAAAGATGCTGAAATAAGTGAAATTCTGAAAGATTGGAAGTTCACAAAGTTTAAAGTTTTATTCATTTAAATTAACAGGATGACGTGACGGAATAGACGAGGTCATACAGAGCGAAAATATAAGCTCGTCATGTCATTTGGAAGCGCATAGTTATTTCCTTTTTAAATAGAAAACTGGTAAAATAATGTAATTAATTTTTAAAATATTACAAAGATTCCCAATAGATATTCCAAATATACTATCTTTCATTATATCCTATTGTCTCATCTTTAAATTTATGGGTTTATTTGAAGTTGTGTGATAAAATAGGATATCCTCAAGTGTCTTTGCTGATTATGATTGATTGGTGATAAAGATGAGTTGTTTGTTACTTATTTATTATTATTTGTAACAGGCTTCACTAGCTACTAAACAAACGTTATTATGAATATATTTTATTCTCATATATTTACAAAACACAAATTCAACTTCATATAAACATTATGCGTAAATTTAAACGTGTAAGAAAAGGACAAAATCATTGGACTATTTCGATTATGTTTAAAATGTTATAAATTATAAAAATTTAATTTTTTAAAGTTATTAGATTTTCAACAATTAAAAGGGTTAAAAATAACAATTTTGAAAAAAAACCAAAATGACAAACCAGTTTCTTTTTGCCAAAGAGTTTGGAATAGAAGCAAAACCACCGAGCAGTGATATACAAGTAACCCTGAAGTAATATGTCAGTCACCAGAGCACAATGGTATGCTGCATGATGCAAACGTATTAGTTACACTTCAAGCGTCCAAATAACAAAAAAAAATACACAAAAAATTTTATTAGCTAAGTTGACGTATCACAGATTTATACATAAAGGTGCCTATAACATGAAACAATTTTTACAATCAATTAAAACAATATTCCCAAAACAAAATTCAGAAACACGTCGAAGCTGTTGAGTGAATTAATTGAGAAATGATGTACCAAGAAAAACATCACTAACTTTTAATGATCATCTCATCTGAGCAAGCAACATCAGGAAAGTTTTTGTGGAAACGTTCCTTGTGGGAGCGACTGGATCGTGGAACATCACTGGACTGTAATGCTTGTGAGTTATTTTGAAACTTCTCCGAACTGGAATCACTTAAGGGTCATTTTAAAATTATTTAACATTTCACTAACGTTGACAGTAATAAAAAATAGAAATAGAAATTGAAATACCAACATGGATAACAAACAATATCATAGTAAGAAGGATTGCTTTTTCATTTAAAAGCCTTTCAAAATCAGCAGTTTTATTTGTAAATAAATTTGTATACTTGTATTGAAATACCAACATGGATAACAAACAATATCATAGTAAGAAGGATTGCTTTCTCATTTAAAAGCCTTTCAAAATCAGCAGTTTTATTTTTAAATAAATTTGTAACACACCATAATATTCTTAGTATAAAAATTCAAATGAATTTTTACGATGTGGTAAAAAAATAATTTGAAAAGCATAAAAATGTATGATTTCTTAAATAGTAGAAAACAATTTAATGAAAATGTTTTGTGAAAATAAATGGTGACATAATATCATTTTATATCATTTTAACATAATACAAGTTTATATAATATAATACAATTTTATAGCGGAGGGATGTTGCAGAAAAATTCAGAATGGCCCCTCTATGGTACTTAGACTTGGAACGCTCAATGTTAGATCACTAACTGGCCGCAGCATGGAAATCGCAGAAATGTCGAGCGTAGAAGGATTGACATCTGCTGCCTTCAAGAAACCCGATGGAAATCGAATGGTGTCTGTCATGTCAACTCAGACAAAGAAAAATGTAAACTATTCTGAAATGATCAAAAGACGGCCAAAAATGGTGTTGGAATTTTTGTTTACTGAACACATATTTTAGAAAGAGGTTGGAACATCTCATAACATACAAAAGTGGACCATCGGCCACGCAAATTGATTTCTTCGCTGTCAAGCAACAACACCGAAGGCTATTCAAAACTGTCAAAGTTATACCTGGCGAATCATGTGTCGCCCAACATAGACTCCTTGTGGCAGACCTGGTTGTCGAACTGTCAAAATATAAGTCTAAACAAATGCCTCGGAAAATCAAAACGTGGAAGCTGAAAAGCAATATTCATCGAGAAAAATTTCAACAGATTGTCGCCACACAGTTAGACCACCAATCGCAAGCCAGTACAGATTGGAGTACATACAAAACCGTTTTGATAAACGCTGCAACTACAAAACGTCAGCATGAACGGGACACTTGGTGGTGGAATGACAGTGTACAAAATGCAATAGCTGAAAAGAAAGCTGCATACAAGCAATGGCAAAAATCAAAGTCTGTTGATGACCATAAAATTTTCCGTGAGAAGAACAACTATGCAAGAGGTCAAGTTGCACTGGCTCCGACAGATCAGTGCAGAGAGTGGCTCACTAAAAGCAAAGGTGAACAAATGAAATCTCTGTATCGTATAGCAAAACAAGCAAAGCGTACGAAAAAAGACATAGTTGGTGCCTCATGTATCAAAAACGACAAAAATGAGATGGTTCTTGACGGAACAAGATGAGATCAAGCTACAGTGGAGAGAATACTTCAACCGTCTGTTAAATGAAACAAATCCCATCAATGTCAACTTTGACGCTCCACCCATCGAAGGTCCGATTCCAGACATCACTGTAGAGGAGCTTACAGAAGCTTTGAAAGCTATGAAGGATGGAAAGGCAGCAGGGTTTTCTGGACTCATAAATGACATTATCAAAGCATCTGGTACTGCAGGTATCCAAACGTTACTACAACTTTGCCGTGAAGTGTGTAGAAATTGCTCAATGCCGACTGAATGGAACTATAGCATGACAGTTCCGCTATACAAAGGCAAAGGTGATCCATTGAACTGTTCATCATATTGGGGTATACGTCTGTTAGAACACTCCCTGAAAATTGTCGAGAAAATCATTGAGAGAAGATTAACGTCGTGCATCACAATCGGAAATTATCAATTTGGTTTCCTAGCGGGGAAATCAACAATTGATGCAATTCACATCCTTCGGCAACTGCAAGAGAAGTACCTCGCAAAGCATTAACAACTATCACACATTTTTGTAGACCTTGAAAAAGCCTTTGATCGAGTTCCCCGTGAAGCAATCAGGTGGAGTCTACGTCGACAACTCATTCCAGAATATCTTGTTCGACTTGTGATGGAAATGTATACGAATACTAAGACTCTTGTCGGCACAACGGTTGGAAACACAGATGCATTTGACATCGGCGTTGGAGTTCACCAAGGCTCGATTCTCAGTCCTTTGTTATTTATAACTGTGATGGAAGAAATCACAAAACCGATACGCACTGGTGACATTTGGAATCTAATATATGCTGATGATATCGTTTCAACAGCCACGTCTGAGCAGAAAGCAGCACAGATGTTTGAAGATTGGAACACCAGACTCGCCGATCATGGATTCAAAGTCAACATCAGCAAAACCAAAGCAATGAACATTGGTGAACCCATCCAATCCACAGCTACTGGACGATGGCCCTGTTCAGTTTGTAAAGCTGGTGTAGGTAACCATTCAATCAAGTGTCAGCAGTGTAACCAGTGGTGTCACAAACGTTGTTCAAAAATAATTGGTACTTTATCTAAAGTGTCCAATTTTGTTTGTCCTGCTTGCATCAATCCTCAACAACAAATTCGAAATAGCACTGTTTTCGAAGCCATTAAGGTAGAGAAAGACACATCGTTTCAATATCTAGGAGATGTTCTGGATTGTACTGGAACAGCTGAAGCTGCCGTTCGAGCACGCATACGTGCAGCCTGGAATAAATGGCATCTCCTTGCCTCTTTATTGATGCGGCGTGACATCCCACTACCACTACGATCAAGACTTTATAAATCTGTGATACGTCCGGTGTTGTTATATGGTGCAGAAACATGGCCAATGACAACCAAACTGGAACAACAACTTCAACGAACCGACATGAAAATGCTCCGATGGATGCAACGAATTAGTCTGAAGGACCACATCAAATCTACCGAAATCCTGCGTCGTGCTGGTTTAGATGATATAAAGGACGAATGCCGGCAACACCGTCTGCGGTGGTTTGGTCATGTCAAACGAAGTGGAAACAGTGCCATAACTTCTCTTGCAGATATTGAAGTACCTGGCACACGTTCCAAAGAAGTCCTGGTCGCAAACAATCGAGCAAGACATGAAAGCTCTAAATTTAAATGAAATGGATAAAACTTCTAATTTGGCGCAAAAAGTTGATGGCAAAGAAAACAACGTCCTACCTCGGGGAACCGGGTCTCTGGACGCAAAACAAAGATTGATTGATTTTATAAAAAATTGAATAATGGACTCAAATCCTATATAGAAATCCTGTATTGACGAATAACAAAAAAAATGAAAAAAGAATAATAATTCCCATGTTGTGATCATCTTCATTAGCTACATATTTATCAAGTTGAAATGCGCTCTCAAAATTTAATTCCAATAACAAGACGCCATCTTCTTCCTTCCCAGATGATCGACGGCATCACATCATTTGAAGTAATTGCTGACTGCTGCTGTTGGATGAACAATTTCTCAGTTTGACTGACATATCAAGGGCCATGGCAACCACATCTATGGCAACCACACTTCATTATCTGTTATCTACCTTTCTGAAAGCTGGATAGAACCATAGCAACATCGATTGGTCCGGGACATCCAATAACGTCAGTAGCCATGCCTTCTGTCACATTGCTGACATAAAAGACTTTTTAACAAGAAAAATTTTTGCTTTGGTTAATTTTAAAGTTTCTTGTTGAATCATTGATAACTTTCGATGCCTTTCCATATGTTCTTAGTTACAGTTATAAAATTCATGATTAAACGTTTATGAAGCTAATAAAGTCGAATAAATTAATGTTCTTAACCTCATTATCAACATCATTACAATCACACTGCTGCTCCAGACTTGAATTAACTTCTCTTTGTTTGGAGCTTGAATTAACTGTTTGCACTCAATAACATTAATGAGACCGTTAATGGTTTTTTAAAATATTCATGATGGAGACAATGTAGGTAATGGAGGCCATCTAGTTCTAATTGAAATCTCTTCACTATATAATTTTATATACGACTTAATAAAAAATAATGTTAAGAAATTGTATTGAATTTTCCAGAAGATTAATTTTGTTACCTTTAACCTCTAAACGAATTTAAAATATGAACAACAAATCAAAAATATAATGAAAAAAGAGCAATGTTCATGAGACATCCCTGTTTAGTTTCTATATCATCTATGTTGTCTTGCCATCATGTCAATCGACGTTTATATAACTGATGAATCATTTTAAAAAATACTAGTAAAAAAATAAAACAACAAAACAAAACAACTTACTTGTTTGAATTTTTTAAAAAAGATTTGTTTTTAGGAGCTGATGTTGACGGAGAAGAGGAGGTTGGTGGTGGAGTGACAAGAGTAGAAGGAGGTGTGGATGGATTGGTCGGTAGAATTGTTGGTGGTGATGTTGATGCAGATGCCAGCATTATGCCCTCATCAGCGCTCTTCGAATTCAACGGAAGAACATCAAACAAGTTATCATCCATGACACATTTTTTAGAACTTTTTTTTTTGCAGTTCCTGTTGTTGTTGTTCTGTTTTCGTTTGATGTTGTTTCCGTCGAGTTCCTTTTTGAAACCATTCATGCACAGGCACAAGGAGAACATGTTAGAGATAATAATTAAAATATAAATAAATATGAATATCCATGAAGCTTTAATTTAATTTCACGCTAGCAGCTGATTTGCTTAAAACAAAAAAAATAATTACAAATATTTTCTAGTGACAGAATTTTTATTTATAATAAAAATAGTAACTAATAATTATCACATGTGTTTCACAAGAAAAATTTTTAAAACCAACGAAATTTGAGATCAATGCTTTATGTTTATGGCATCATTAAGCAACAGATTCACGTGCTTTACCTAATCATAATCATCCATCTATCTATCTGTATATTTATCTATCTATCTATCTGTATATCTATCTATCTATCTATCTATCTATTTATATATATATATATATATAGATAAATATATATATATATATATATTTATTTTGACTCACAAATACATAATCATAAATGAGATATATTGAATTCATGCATTAATAATTTTCACCAAATAAAGTATGATAAACAAGATCATGTATTTACGCATATATAAATAAATAAAAGAAATAACGTATTTACACACACACACACACACATATATATATATATATATATATATATATATGTCAGGATTTAAATATATACCACACGTATGTGTACCTGCTTGTGGGTCATATATGTGTCAAAATGTGTGTGTTATATAAGGTGAATGAAGGCTTGCTAATAAAACGTGTATATAGAGAATGATGTAAAAAAATGCATGCTTGTATATAAATTGCATTTGTCTTTCCTTAACTTTCTACTGCTCTTAATAACTCTGCTTCTAAGACATTGTTGGATGTTCAGCATATCAACACATACACTTGCACATTTTATTAATTTCCACGCACGATCCACTTCCTTTTATAATTTGTAATTTTTTTGTAAAATTAAGTATGCAATCCTACGCATTTAGGTAACCCTCTCAAGTGTTCTAATCCGATTTCAACAAATATTTCATTTAGCAAATAATGATAGGCTAAACAAGTAGTTCACAAACAAACTTTAAACATGTTTATGTCTCTACATGCAAGTAGAGACATAAAACAAAATTAAAATTGAAAATAAAACAACAGTAGGATAAAATAGTTTAAGATAAACAAAAAAAATTAATCTCAAATATTATAATAAATTCTGAATGACCTAGGCAAACAAAAGAGAGTGACACTACGCAAGTGAGTGAATGTCATTGAAGATAAAATTTTTTCTTCTTGATAAACACCAATCAAAATGTGGCAAACGAGAGCACAGAGTCGGGGTTAGAGGAAGGGTTTATAACTGCAAATGTTAATATGTTTGTAGTTCGTTTTTTCGATGTTTCTCACTAAATTTTTTTGGAGAAAGTTTAGTTTATTAAAATTCAAAATAAACTTATGAGTTGCAAGTTGCACTGATGATGATTCATTCGGGATCGAAATATGGCCGTATTTGTGCCTGGGGATTTGTGAAAATGTTTATTTTGTGAATTAAAAAAAACTTAAGCGTTCTCCAAAACTTCTAGTGAGAAAAATCAAAAAAACTAACTACAAACAGAATAACGCCAAACATTCGGTAGGATTTAGAAAATATTGTAAAAATTATGCTCTATTACCAACAATTGCAAATGTGTATATAGGTTTACAATACGTGATTGTAATTCCTATACTAACTCAAAGTAACAGGATGTCCATTTTGCCATATGAAATAATTTAAGTCCATATTTTGTGACAGAAAAAAGTACCCAACAAAATTATTGTAGACACGTAATTAAGTACCGGTTTTGGTTTTACAATTAATAACTACTTTGGAGGCATGTTCATGTTGGTCATGATTGTGTCTGCTGAATGTGCCCCTGTGTGAATACTTGGGCATATTGACAATTAGCTATTATAATAATTGAGAGTATGAATTTTTTTCACTAAATATCACCTTTGATCTTGCAAGAGAAGTTTATATGGTAGCTTTTATGCTTGATCTGAATGAAATTATATTAATATATATATATATATATATATATATATATATATATATATATATATATATATATACACACACACACACACAATATTCTATAAATTCTACTGAATGTTTGGCATTAATATGTAGTTTTTAGTTCGTTTTATCGATTTTTCTCACTAAAGTTTTATGGTTTATAATAAAATAAGTTTATTTTGAATTTTAATAAACTAAACGTTCACCGAAAAACTTTAGTGAGAAAAATCGAAAAAACGAACTACAAACATATTAACGCCAAACATTCGGTAGAATTTATAGAATATTGCAAAAATTATGGTCTATTATATATATATAATATATATATATATATATATATATATACAATTTTCATTAAATTCTATTGCTTTTGTATTAATTATCAGTTTATATTTCAATTTTTTATTTTTCTTATAGAAAAATCAATGTATAAATTAATAAATAATACAATAGAAAGTAGCGATAGAATTTAATGAAAGTGTATATATAATGGTCGTATACCTAATATAAATATATATATATATATATATATATGTGTGTGTGTGTGTGTGTGTGTATATCATTCCTCGTTTATAGTATATATATATATATATATATATATATATATATAAATGATGTAGTATGGAGACTACGACGGACGTGATACAATTACTTATTTCCTAAAATCTCAAATGCCAGAAAAACTTTAGACTGGGTGTAGTCTAAAATTATAAAGATGATAAACACACATAAACATCTACTTTTTTTATGTAATATAGAAATAATTTTAAAAAACATGCATACACACACACTCACACTGGCGCACGCACGCACATATACATTCCATATACCAGACTTTTTGTTACATGATTTTTTTTTTGAACGTTATATTTTATTTCTCTATTAACAATACTCTATACAATATACTCTCTCTATATATAGAGAGAGGGGGGCTCTCTCTATATATAGAGAGGGGGGGGGGGGAGAAAGAGAAATATATATATAGCTTTGATGGGTAGAGTTCTATGCATGTTATTATTATTATTATTCAAAACAGCACGGGCAGAACCCCTTGCCAAACAAAAATATAGAAATTCGAAAATATAAACCATAAATAAATAAATCAGGTAATGTACATAATAAACTTATCTTATATATATAAATAAGATATGTTGGCTCTTGATTAATAACATAAGAAGAAAAAAAGAGAGTGAAAGAGAGAAAAAGAAGCATTGAATTTGTAAAACCGATGTTTATTATGATAAGACAATGACAACACTCGTATGATCGAACATACACTGACACATCTACACACCCACACACACACACATATATATATATATATAAATATATATATGTATATATATATATATATATATATATATATACACTTCTATTGCCGGTTTAACGTGTTCAGGTAATGAAGGACAAACAGGATGAGTAAGTAGGCTAATTACATTTCAAATTAATGGAAGAAAACAAAGATGAACCACAATTTCTTAGAAATAATTTTTTTCTACGAATCATTAACAACAAATTAATAATGAAAATAATTAAAACCATAACAACAACATTGATAATAATAAAGAAAACATTTTATTACTAGAAACTTCAAATCAGGTGGGAAAATAAGAAAAAAAGAATATTTAAAAGAGTTTAAATAATTAGAAATAAAAATGCTAAAAAGGTAATGTAATGTGGTTGTGGATAAATAGGTATCAAATGTGTGCCGACACAGGTGTAAATGAATGAGAAGGTGAGTGCGGCAGGCAGCCATCATCAATTTTCGCTAATCAGTTTCTTGTGTTTACAATTTTACCTTTACTCTTAAATTAATTGGGTAAAAAATTTAAAATAATATTCGACAGTTTTTCGCGAGAAAAATATATTTTATTTAAAAAAAGAAGAAAACAGCCAATGAAGACTCAATTATTAGTGTCATCATGACCAGCTTCGTTACCAACGTTATTTGATTCGTTAGGTCTATAGAAAATTATGAAATGAAAGTAAAGTTTAGCATACTTAATAACGAAAATAAGCAAAAACGTTGGTGGTAGAAATGATAAGTGAAGCGTCAAATGAGAAACAAGTTGAGTTTAATATCAGTTTTTATGGCTTCAATAAAAAGGCGCCAAAACAACTACTGAATTTCTGGCATAAATTAGGTTTAACGGAGATCATAAGCTAGATATTTTATTATGGCAGTCAAGGAGACAATAAGTATCAGGCAGAATAGAATTTATTAGCATAGCTACATTGTTTTCGTACTAAACGTATTTACATTTACGTCTCTCTCTCTCTCTCTCTCTCTCTCTCTCTCTCTCTCTCTCTCTCTCTCTATATATATATATATATATATATATATATATATATATAAGTAAGTATATATTTTATTTTTTTATTTAAAAGAAAGTTAAAATAAGTTAACAATATAACTTGTGGATGACCATCTACGACATAAAGTACGCAAATAAAAAAAAAAAAAAAACAGAAAATATCAAGTCGGTACTTTGACGAAACGTACAATTTATTAAAACAAAATAAAGACAGTATGAAAATCAGGCTTAGAAAGTAGTATAGGGCTCTAAAGTGAAAAGCAAATTTGCGAATTTTTTCAAAATAAATACAGATTAGTCAAATTTGATACATCCATGGAGACAAATTTAAACCATATTGAAGTTCCTGTATATTTTAAACTGGATGAAATTAATTTGAGTCGCATTTGACACCATTCAAAACAGAACACTATATATATATATATATATGTATATATATGTGTATATATGTATATATATATATATATATGTATATATATATATATGTATATATATATATATGTATATATATAATTGTTGGTAATAGACCATAATTTTTACAATATTCTATAAATTCTACCGAATGTTTGGCGTTAATATGTTTGTAGTTCGTTTTTTCGATTTTTTTCACACTAAAGTTTTTTGGTGAACGTTTAGTTTATTAAAATTCAAAATAAACTTATTTTTCGAATTCATGCTGCAAATACGGCCATATTTCGATTCCGAATGAATCACTGATTCGGTAGAATTT